GAAAATGTGCCCCAATACAACCGTAACGAGGCCCAGTAGAGCACGGAGGCTGGAAACGCACGGCACTCGCAAAACTGAAAATTCACCCCTGGGGGGTGGGGCTGGGAAGGGCACCCCGGAGACCCCCCCGGGAGCATAATATGTTCTTTTGCGGGCATTTCGGGTAAGACCATACTTGGCCGAATGCACCATATCCCGTCCGATTTGTGAAGTTAAAAGCGGCCACAGGTCTCGTTAGTACGGCGATCAGTGATGGCGCTGGAACCCGGGGCGCCGTACCCTCCTCAACTTTTTTTTGCCACCATCTTGGGGTAGGTGCCGCGACCCTCTGAAGTGAATCACGGCTCGCCCTTGGCAATGAGGGCTGTCTTATCGCGGCGCCCGGCTTACGCGCCTCCATCTCCCAGGGAAAAGCCAAACATGCCTCACACATTGTCGTGGTGGGGCAGGCGGTGGGGTCCCAACAAACCAAAATGCCCATGGGACACGATGTTCTTATGGGGGAAAGTGTTCTTATTATACTTGTTTTTCCTTTTCTGCATTTCCCATGGTTTTCCTTTTCACACCACACATGGCGGTAGCGGAACGCCTTGTCATCACCATAGCGGAATTTGCCTTTATCATGAGGGTGTGGTGAATCCCCCTTGTTCTTTGTTCACGGTGCGGGCCATCCAACAGCACCTTTTATTCGGTGGGACGCGGCACCATGTCATGAGGGGAACGGGGAAGGGTGATCTTTGCGGAATACCTTTCAAACCCATCTCACTCAGCGTTGAAGTTGGGAAAGCAAGAGTTTTCCACTATGCCCAACCCCACTCATTTTATAAGTGAAACACCCCAGGGAGCCACCCCACCCCTCTTCTTCTTGTTGCGCACAAGACGCTGTGACAAGTTGGCCGCCCGCCTTGGGTTGTGGGGGTTGTGTTCTCTCTCCTCTCCCTTCTTGGGGTGAGGGATAAAAAAAAAGAAAAGGGCAAAACCCGACAACGAGCCTCGAGCATTGCGCACGTAGACTGGTTGCCGGGTTTCTTCCTTTTTTTTTTCTCATCCTCACTCTTCTTTTTCTCTCAAGTTCAAAGACCCTGAGCATGATATTTCAGGCCTCAAGGTCCAGCGCCTCGGGACGTAAAGTGCCCCTCGAGCCCCGCCGAAGCAAAGCATGCCGCTTACACACAAACCCCACAGAGGCCACAGTGGAGTGGTCCAGCAACACAAAATGTCCTTCCCACTCACAGTGCACACACACACACACACACAATGACAGTCTCACATGCTCATGTCAGAGAGGCACTGCGGCACTCACTAAAATGTACACTAAGTCACACACCTACAGAGGGGAAGAGAAAAACACAAGAGCAGCAGAGGAAGAACAACTACAGGGCACCAACAGCAGAAGCAACCGTCATGGCATACCCGCAGGCGAAGCACAGCACAACGGCCAACACACACATCACAGGGCTCATCGTCATTATTCCTCTTCTTATTCTTGTTCTACTTGTTGTCTTCCATGACACTTGAGTTCACAGGTCTATGCAGGGAGTGTGGAAAACGGGGAAAAAGGAGAGAGAGTGCATACAGGACACATATACTCACAGTGAGAGAGAGAAGCAGCTGCAACAGCAGAGTACAGTAATAGAAAAGGAATAGTCCCTTTGCAAGATGACGCAGACCCCCCAAAAACAGTATATACAGAAAAAAAAAGTACACAAATCCAAAACAAAAAAGGTCAAATCCCAATACCCCAGTTGTACAACATTGTGGGGTTCAGCAATCACAGGTATAAACGTATTCGTGATATATATGTGTGGTCAGTGAGCAGATAAGCACAGGGCATGCGCACACGACCAAAAACGAGAAATTTAATGAGAGAAAGGTAAAAAAAAAAGTGCAAAATAAAAAAAAGAGGAAGTTCAATACAATTAAAATAAACCTCCAAATGTGAAGTAAATTACTTTATTTGACCACGGGAGTAGCACATATATATTGGCGGAATTATTATTATAAGTGTTTCCGTCAATCAAACGAATTCCTCTCAGCACACCGTTTTACAATACCAACGCAGCCACAATCAGCAGAGGTGCCGCAGCGCGCATCCACACAGGGCTGAAACTGCTGTCAGCATTACCCGGCTTCTGCTCGGTGGGTGCTTCGGTTGAAGGAGATGGAGTGTTGGTTGGTGCTTCTGTGTTAGTGCTGTCGGGGCTCTGTGGAGTAGTGGTTGTTGAATCAGCATTGTCATTCCCTTCTGGTGCTTGTCCATCTTCTGTTGCAGGAGGTTGTGGCACCTTCTGTTTTGCCTTCAGAGATTCTAACACCTCCGAACAAGTTTCCCCATTAATACGTACAGCAGAATTATCAGCAGAATCATTCGCACAGTGCTTGTTGTAAATGTCTTGTGTAACTTCTCCGAAGACAACAACAATACGCTCCTCCTGGGTACTACTAGCAGGAGGTTGCTGGGTGGGTTCTTGTTCACCGGTTGCCCCGTTGGCTGTTGTGCTACTTGATGCTTCTTGACCATCTGGTGTAACTTGCGATGTGGAGTCAGCGCCACCTCCACTTACAGTTGGCTTTTGATTACCTGCACCTTTCCCATTCTCTTTCCTCTCGGACCTCACAAAGTCGGGACCATAGAGACCTAAAAGTGCATTTTCAGCACGAACCTCGCATAGTTTCTTGAAATCCACACACAGAGTCCCAGTTTTGTTTGTCTTGCATGGATGTTCCACACTTTTATTAGCGCGACGTAAAAGTGGATTATTCCTATCCGTACACTCCACCTCCACCACAGTACTGACTTGGGAAGCAGTTTCAACAGCAGCAG